GAGCCCTTCCTGGGCTAAACGAGGAATCAGGAGCCCTTCCTGGGCTGAACTGGGGATCAGGAGCCCTTCCCGGGCTTAACGAGGAATCAGGGGCCCTTACTGGGCTAAACTGGGGATTAGGAGCCATTCCTAGGCTCGACTGAGGATTCCGAGGTTTCTCCTCCTCGTTTTGACCCTGAATTCCCTCCATATTCTGGCCCTTATGTCCCGCCATAGTCAGCTCACCCTCAGCCATGATGCAGGGGGCGGAGCTCCTCTCCGCGCTCACACCGTCCACGGCTTGCTCCCTCGTGGTGGGCACTGTCGCCGGCTCTCGCACCTGCTCTGACGGGTTGGGCTCAACTTCCGAGGCGATCCTCTGCTCAGTCGCTTGGCTTCGCTCTGGCTCTCGGGTCGCGGCGGGAAATGGCTCTCCGTCATCGGTGGGCTCGGGCTGATGTCGTCCGGATAGCTGGTGACGTTAGCGACCATCAGGAACAGTCTGGTATGGTCCTCGAGAGTCCTGCCCTCCTGCTCCAGCAGGAGGAGGAGGAATTCGGGGCGCGTGAAGGGATCCATGGGGTAAACACAACGGAAAAAAAAACACTGAGGAAAAACCGGAAAACAAACGGAGGGGAGAACACGGAAGTTAAACTGTTTTTGGGTCGGTTATTCTGTCACGGGCAGGGTGTTCCAGAGACCAGGCAGGACGACGAAGATGACGAATAAAAGGATATTTAATGATATGACAGCAGGAGATCCAGACAGGGTAGACATCAACACACAGGGTAACATTCACAATAACCGACAAACTCGAATACCAGAGACAGGAACTGATAAAGGGCAGATAACAAGGGGTAGACAGGTGAGCACAATGAGGTAATTAACTGATAATGAGAACAGGAACAACCAAATAAGGACACAGAGGGAGAAACCACACTCAAGTCCACAGGGGTGTGACACACGACTGACATGCCTGCTGTAATTACTCACGTTATTTCAATCTTTAATGAGATTTCTTGGCCAGTAGGTGGTGTTGTCCCCATGCTGTTCAGATAGCTTCAGGGTAAGATGGCAATGACATATACCAAGTACCATTTCAATATGCTAAAGCATTGTTAAGCAGAGCTTCGCTTTCTGTTCTTGAGGTCATTTCTGAGATTTTGAAAATCTACAATCCAATCTGTAACCTCTGCTAGGTTTTCATAATCTAGACCACACAGTTCAAAAGTTCAAGAGCAAGGGTCGAACAAAACCAAAAATGTTCAGACCATCCCCAAACAATGTGCCAAATTTTAAAATCTCTACACCTGCTTGAAATACATTTTGTATTATAAGTGGAAAATATTTGACGTGATCTGGCTGGACAGTGAATTTATCAAATTGCATTCAAAGCCATTGTAAAATACTTTATAAACACACACCTGTGACCTCATTACATCTACTTTGAGTTACAGAAATATTCCAAGTTCAACACAAATTCATCTCGGTATAATTTTGGCATAACGTTGATTACAGCAATATTACTGCAGTCATATATGTATATGAAAGCCTTGTGTTTATACAGTATGTTCAAAACTTTTACAACCACAAGTTGCCAAAAAAATATTGTTTAAAAATATATATTTTCTGTGACATATTGCCATAAACTCTTTAACAAAGCCTAAATTGCATTTACCCAGAGCGCTCCTTTAAATCATTCAGGGATCAGTGATGCTACATGTCGTGCGGCTCTTAGCTGTTCTAAAATCAATGTAATCCATGGGTTCTTATTGCTTTAATCAACAGAATATATTCAAACATGATATTAATTAATATTTAATCTGCAAATAACTACTGTATCCTACATGTTACAGCAAGAGATTAGCTTGAGGTTCAGATGTGGTTGGTGCAGAGAGTTGGCGAGGGCTTGCTGTAATTTGGCACAATGGGACGGAGTCTGGCTCTATGACTGTTATCAGTGAAGCACACTGTCAGTCTAATGTCATGTTTTCAAGATCATAATTACAGCTCATGTCTCAAATGCCACCAATCTAATCATTTGACTCAAAGGCACACCATCACACACACTTTTTGGAGCTTAATTGGACCATGTGTTTATTGTGTATTTGTGTGTGGAGGGAACCAGAGCCAGTGATGATAAAGATAAAAATAAAACCATAATTTTTCACCCCTTGTAAAGATGGAAAAGAAACGTGATGCTTCACAAAGGTGGTGGTGTATGATCTGTGGGGCAGTGAATATTGCATGTGCTCTTGGGAATGCCGGCTTGAAACCAGCCTGCATCCTAATTCAATGCTTTTTCTCTAGAATTTCCAGCTTATTCTTTTTATTTCTGTTCTAAAAAAGAGCAATGATGGTGGTGAATGTGTAAGTACTTACACTGCCCATTCCAGCTTCTCATTCTTGATGGAGTTATACAACGACTGCATGGGAAAAAACAGAACAAAGACAAAGGCTTAGTATGGTATGCATTCAGTTTAATAGAATTCATATTCACCTGAAGTACAATTTATTCATTTAACCTCCTTAAATAACTGTTCTTCAAATGTGAGGTCTGTCCCATGGTACGTGTGATCTGTGTAACTGTAATTTCATCGCTGTGGAAAACGTACTAGATTGGTGCTTGTGCTCTTTTATTTAATAATCCATCTCACTGAGTTATTATGAAGTCAGTCACCGTAGAATCATGAGTTATGATGAAACGCTGTCTCTTCTGGACTAATGAAGCTTTCTGATGCAGTGCCATCAGTAAAATTCATTGTCAAAATGTCACACAATTTATTTGCACCATTTATGCAAATGCACGACAAGATTCCCGGGTGAAGTATGAGCGAAAGGTCAAACCAAACATCAAAATGCTGCAGAAATTTCATTTGTTAGCATGAATATTAGGACACATAAATACTTCTTCAGACCTCATGCAAATGTTCAGAAGCACAATATACATCCGCGCAAGTGTCAAATGAGAAAAAGGGCTTCACTACATTCATGAGCGTGCAAGATAAAATAGACAGGCAAACTCTTAGCTGTCATCTGATACACATTTCACATGAAGCAACGTCACTGTAACTCTGATGTGACCCACGGCAGACACTCAAGTGGCTGATATCTCATAACAGTCACCGTCTCATAACACTAAACACACGTCAGCTGATGTTACGTGAAGCTGCTGCATGACACACGATGGGTCACGGCCCGTATGCTTGTGGTCTGCAACACACTAATTTCTGTCAATACAAATATGAGAAAAGTCATGATACCAGTCTGTGCTTTCTGACTGACAGATGGCTGCTTTTGAACGTGATCTGTGTACACTAGGTGTGCATGTGAACGATCGAATGCACTGCTTGGTCAAAATGCCCGTCGTGGCGTGATTTCAGTGCCAAACCAGCTAGTTACAGTATGTCTTAGATAAACATAAACCGCTAGGCAAAATCTGTGATGTGTCTTCTAACATTACTCAAACAATAAACCTGGCAAGAAACAGAGAACATTCTGCAGAGAACGTAATTTATTTCCTTGTTCTCTATGATGTTTATTTGCATAATTACATGACAAATCTGAAGCAGCGTTTACTTCACTAACAAACACTTGAAGCTACATTCCATTGTTTTAATTACATTTGTTGATATTTTTATTTCACTTTTTAAATGGAGTGTGTTCAATAGTATTAGTTTTTGCTGAGGTTTTTAAATTGGAACCAAGAGACCAAGAGTTTTTGATAGGCTTCTTAGTAATTTGTGATAACATGAAATCTCTTTAAGCATGTAAGCATCTATCAGAATTTGCTGTGTTGTTCTGTTGCTGTATGCCAAAAGGTGATGGGCATGTGGCCTAGTGACTTAATAATCTAGCCTGGTAACTGGAATGTTTTAAGTGTCAAAGGATAGTGTATACTGCACTGTGAGGAACTTTAAATAAGAATCTATAGGCAAAATAGTAATTAGTAAACATGAATAGAAAAGTTATATTTGATATTTAAAATGATAAAAATAAGTAGACTGATTTCCTGAAGAGTGTAAACGATGTGGTGCTTCAAAACACTGATCCAGTAAGCTGATTAAGAGGCACAACATGTCAACTACTCACCCGATGCTGTGAGTTTGGGGCAAAACTATCTGTTTGAATGACCAACAGCACTAACGGAATTGAAAACATTATTTTGTCTTTCTATTTAATGATGCTAGTTACACAGAAATTAAATTCAACTTAAAATTACTGACAAAAAACAGTCCTGATGTGATGTAAAAATAGGTTGTGATGTAAACCACACATTCTTAAAAAATAATCTGTTGGAGTCAATAGCCTCGTGGGCAGCGCTCCAACATATAGTTGTGCTTTGTCTGAGTCCCGGTTCATGCTTGTTTCCTATGTCATCGCCCCCTCACTGTCTCCCACATCGCTTCCTGACAACTCTATACCTTATGAATAAAGGCAAAAAAAGGCAAAATAATTATGTATATAAAATATACATATATATAATCTAGCTTAAATAAATATAAAATGAATAATATTATAATATTGTGTGCATTTTAAATATATATTTATATAAAATAATAATCTGAATAAGTCATTAAAGCAACCTACACAGCAAAGTACTGTAAAAATTGTATACAGTTATGGTACAGTTAAAAATGGTCACATATAGCCATAAACTCCAATGTGCGCATATTCCAACTTATATCACTTGAGCCTCTAAATCCAGCTAAAACATCAGTTTCCTTCAAATGCAACTAATGCAAAAAAAAAACATTTCACAAGCATCCACTGCCGTTCACTGCATGTGTGTGTAGTAATTTTCCCATTTTAGTTGACTCAAAGTGAGAATTTTCAGTGTTCATATGTGTCCAAACACAAAGCCATGTTCCTCTCACATGAGATGTGTGTCCGTGGATGCCGCCCGCTGGACACAGACACATTACAGCGACGTGTTTACGGCACAACAGAAAACACACGGGTGTGAAAGGGAGCGAGTTACACCGGAGAGGCTATAACGCTGGCATAAACAATGTCTGTGAATCATACATCAAACACAGTGGCCAATAAAACAGACAGACAGGTCAAGGTGACACGTTAATGCCATCACAATAACAGATGTTAACAACAGCATGCATTTCATTCAATAACTGGCACAACCGACAAAAAAGCCGTCATCAAACCATCCATCACTTAAAGAAGCAAACTGCTGCCTGTCAGCTTCAGGTAAAGACATAGATCCAGTGTAAGGACACAGACACGTCTCCTCCAGAGGGAGATGCAGCATTTTGTTGAGTGCAAGTATTGCGCCCAGTGCTGCAGGCGCAACACCAGAGCAGCACTTAATAACAGGGTTATATGAAGAGCTTTAGTCTGCATGCGAGATAACAGCAGCATGTCAGCAACGATGTCCAATAACGACAGATTATTGTTAATACAGCACCACAATGCCAGAGAAATCATCTCCATTCCAGGCACACAAACACCACAGCAAATGTCAGGCTCATTACCTTCTCCTTTTTGGGCAGTGCAGTGTTGAATTCAGCAGAACTGGACACTTTGAGAGACTTGGAGCGGTGCTGGGGCTGACGCCTGCCCGGCTCCCCCCTGCCGTACTTGATGGAGCCGCCGGCCCGCATGCGGACCTTCCCGGTCCCCTGAACGCTGTTTACCCCGATCATCTCCTCCGATTAAAGCCCTTTCACACGCACACGGCACAAGAGAGGAGAGCAAGCTTGATCTGGAGCCCGCACGACAGGAGGGACGTGTGAGGAGGTGGCGGTGAGCCACGCAAAAGGAAAAGAGTGAAAACGAACAGACGAGCAAAGCCGAACAGCACACAAATGTCCCTGCATTCAAGACACGAGCGGCGCTGCTCTCTCCCGCATCACTCACTGGAGTGTTTGGATACAGAGCGATAGTTTCCCTGGAAGCAACACGTCAGTGACTGGTAGAGTCTGGGAGAGACACACAGAGAGAGAGAGAAGGGGAGAGGAGGTGCTCCTCCCATTCTGAAGTGAGCCAATGTTGAGATCGATTAATTTATATTTTAAACAGCCAATGCGAGCTGCGAGCCAATGACTCACTCACGTCTGCACACAGAACACAGGCCATCCTGTGCGACTCAGAGATCAAGAACCAAATCACACCTTACCGAACAAACCTCTGAGGCATGCATACCGTATGCATGGTAATATTGGAGAAATGGCCAAATAAGATTCCACATTTGAATGCAATAAGACTTTCATGCACACCCCCCCTGTCTTGAGGTGGTTTATGATAATAACGGCTGTGGAATAGTGATGAAGATTCTTTCAAACATTCCTGGCTCTAGGCAGTAATTCAAAGATCTCCAGTGAGAAATCCATCACCTCAGTATGATTTCAACTGGAATCAATACTTGAAAGTGTTCAAAGTGCATACTAATGCTCCATAAACACACCATGACTGGCTGAAATAAAACAAATTATGAGCGGGCAGGTTTAATCATTTAAGTTTCAGATGTGAGACTTCAGATGACTAACATGAAACATGGCCCGTCTCAAAATGTGGCAAAAGCTTACAAGCTCTAATCTGTTTACAAGGCTGCTTCAATGAACACTTCAGAGGAAGAACTCAATTTGCATGAAACGTTTGTGAGTTCCATGGGATGCTGAGATTTAGGGATGCACTATATATTGGTACCACAATAATCCTCAGCTGATATTAGTGATTTTTTATTTATTTATCAGTAAGCATTGTACATATAAATCAGCAGATATTGGATATTTAATTGTGCATGCTTATCCACCAGCATTTACATTCAGGTTACCTTGTCTTCATCCACCATTTCTTGTAGATCTCAGTATTAATATCTGTCTTTAATACTGTACATCTGTAACGTTCGGCCCTATCTGTCGAATTTACATAAATTAAAACGGGGTAAGATTATACTGTGTGAGAGCTTGGAGTGTTTAAAAAGATGAGACAGACAACAATTTTAAAATGAAAATCAAATGTGTATATACAATATTCACATGAGACTTAAAACAACACAATAAAACAAGGAAACCTCAGGCTGTGAAACCATAACACCATAACCTAAAACACTCCGAATGAGTCCCAGTGTGTTGATTGTCCCAAACGCAAGTGTCAAACAGTGTATATACAATCCAAGTGATAGTCCAAATGCTTGTGTCTGGAAAGGCGAGTCAGAATAAAACTCCGGCCTACGGCTCCCGGGGAAAAAAATAGTCCTTTAAAGGTACTGTCAGCCATAGTCCATGTAATGGGTATCCTCCAAAATATGTCTTAAAATGACTTTGTAATAAATTAAATAAAACTAGGCCCTCCCACAGAGGCACTAGTCTGCCAGAGGAATCTACTGGAACACTAGAGAGACGTGGAATCTGATACCAGCCTGGATGTCCTAGGATTGGAGGCCCAGGGTTATGTTGCACCCAGCCCC